TATTTTAACACAATACTGCAATGGCATTATAATATTTAGATACAACAGCATTACGATATTTTATAACGGCATTATGGTATTACGGCATTACGACATTCATTACGGCATTGCGGCATTACGGCATTACGGCACAAAGTAATTACGGCAAATAATACGGCACGTGCCGTAACCGTCAAATTAATTCTACCGCCAACACTAAACCTGCCATGGCAAAACTTGTAAGTAAATATTTAACACCATGGCGAAAAACCTAACCTCTGAAAATTGTAACGTTAAATTCGCAACTGGATAAACAAGTTATTGGATGCGTAGCATACAATAACAGTGTTATCCGGTAGGTTACGATGATTGAGCTTGCTAAATGACTCGAGTTTTTGGCAGTGATTATGTAAGCTGCCAGTTACGCATATGCCAAATAGCTCGAGTTACTTGACAATTATAAGTTGTCGATTATTTGATATGAGAAAAGACCTTAATTTTTATATTTTACATGTAAAACATTAAACTTTTGAAAAATATTTTATACATTGGCTTTATTAAATCGAAAACTACGAGATTTTAGTAGTTCTAAAAAATTTGAATAGGCCTGTCTTGTTTTGAGGCTATATACAAACAATAACAATATCCAAAAAAAAAAAAAATTTATTCAACCTAAGCTGTCTATATAACCTGTATAAATCCTAGTAAACTTAGGTAGTCAGTTGCATATAATACAATTTTTTAGACTTTTTATTTTCTAATACATATAAACATAATTTACAGATTTTTTAGTGAAAAAATATTTTAAAATTTCGTAATTATCGATAGCAAATCGATATTCAATGTTCATAAACAGAGTTATGAGATTATTCATCACTTAGCCTTAATTTTATAACTTGAAAAACTTCGTAATCATCAACAGCAAAAGTTCCATTTTTTCCATTCCAACTATCCCAACTTTCTCTGTGAAACATATCACCAACACTTTGCTCGTAACTTTCTTTATTACAACTACAATTTCCTGCTAGATTAAATTCATCATTTATCCATAAATCGCCATCACCAAAACATGGACCATGATATTGTGAATCATTAATAGCATATTGTGAACATGCCGGAATTACTCTACCAAGTTTGGCAACCATTTTTTTCTTATAATCAATATTGAATTGAAATATAAAACTGTCACGTGTATAACGCCATGAGTTTGTAGAGCCCCAAGAAAGCGGGTTATATCCACCAATTACATGTTTTGAATTATTGACTTTTAAAAGAGTAACGGTTGGTCCTTGGTTATCACATCTATTGTGGAATGTAGCTGCAGAGAAACCATCACGGGATCCACGGACTAAAAGCTTGAATTCATATTGAATCTCATTAGAATATGATGGAAGAGATGTATTATCTTCGCCGTCGATCCAATGAGCGATAAGAGTGGAATGAGGTTTTTCAATAATAGTCGATTTTATACCTATCAATAATAAATACACACAAATTCTTATATCAGATGTGAACATTTCAGATTTTTTGATATACATATACATATATATAGAGAGATATATATGTATATATGTATATACGGTATATATATATATATATATGTATGTATGTATGTATGTATGTATGTATGTATGTATGTATGTATAAACAATTCATTCAAATAAATCAAATATAGTATATACCTTTATATCTTGGAATTTGAAGATATTCAGGTTTAAGTTGCATTCCAGTTTGAAAATGATATCGTTTAAGGTCTTCATATAATTCTTTAGGGAGAATTTTTTTAAATGGTCTAACTTTATTATAAACTTCTGACGGTCTCATTTGAAAGAATCTAATGGTAGGAATGATATGTTCCAGAGTTTCGCGAAGAGCATTAAAATCATCATCAGACCATTTATTGATATCGATAGTAAGATTAGAATTCTCAATGCCCCATTCAAGGAGATGATCCCAGATTACGACTTCTTCCATTTCGAGATCACTACGATTCAACAAAGAAATCAAAGTTTCTTCTTCAAGAGAAGTGAAATCTTTAGATTTAAATATTGATTGAGGATCTTCACAAATAGTTATTAAACAAAATTCTTGAAGTTCTTTTGATGATTCAAGTTGGAATACGGTTTTATGAACGAGAGCGAAATTTTGGTGTAACCAGTTGGGTCTATTTTTTAAAAGATATTCTTGGATATATTCTTGGAGTTCGTTAAGAAGTAATTCATCAGATGCAACCAACAATTTTAAGATATCTTCTCCTTTTTGTTGGTCCATAGCAATAGAACCTGTATACATAAATCTATAATTTACGATTTACATGAGACGAGAAAATCTTAATCATGTAATGAATAAAATTAATATTAAAAATTACCTAAGTAAAAGTGAAAAAATATAAGGATCAATATTTGGTTTATTGAAAACAGTCATAGTTCCTTCCTTTCTAATCCAATCATTTGATAATGCGGTTTTAAAATATCGTAATGCTGTTGTATCTAAATATTATAATGCCATTGCAGTATTGTGTTAAAATACTGTAATTACTGAT